CTCCTAGGTTGGAGGCCATCGCTTTAAGGTTGGAGGCCATCGCTCCTTGTGGAAATATGTAACCCTAAGGACTGTGTTCCATGTCGAGATAATTCACCACCAGTGAACCAGGTGAGTGTTGATAACCACCTAGGTAATCTTGATTTCCATCCTGATGTCAGGTACCATGCATTCGACGCCATTCGATGCATTTCGTTCCCGGATACAGCCGTATCCTTCGAGCTTTCGTTGCCTCATGGCTCAAGGCCATGCACGGACCATGCACATCATGTGGAAAGAAGAAAAAGGTCCGAGCGTCTTGGAGGGTGGGAGATGGATCCACGTTTTGTTCCTATGTTTGATCTTTGAAGTATATGGGCCCCTAGGATTCCCTTCTTTTTGGGGTCATATGCTTCGCATGGCAGCGTGACCGGTCCCCAAGAGGCCGGAGTGGAGGCCCAACCAGCGGCCAATCAATGCCTGCGAATCTAAGTACTCCATCGTTCAGCAGATCTGCAGTGGATCATTCGACATCTATTCGACTGGAAGGCCAGACCACACGGAACTGACCAAAGGACTTCAGATGATGGGTACTCAATTGCAAACGCTTGCAACCATGGTTGAGAGTCAACAACATGCTTTCCAAAAGACACATGATACGTTCCAGATGCAGCAAGCCATGATTCAAGGTCTTCAAGCCCAGCGTACTGCACTTCCGATTTCACCACGAGGTGGAAATGTACGATCAAGTCCATTTGGTGTTGCCACAGCTGCAGGGATACAAGCCAATGGACAATCACCTTTTGGGACAATGGGCCACTCCACGACCAATCAGACAACAGCTCAGCCTACAGGATCATATCCTTCGAATGTTGCTGCCAGTGGGCCAAAGATTGTACTCCCTGGAGGGATTGAGATCCCACTTGGTGGTGCATCCTCGGCCACAACTGCCGGAACAGGAGGAACTTCAGAGAAGCCAGTTTTAGACGCTTTTCAACGGTCTGACCAATGGCTACCAGAGATGCCGGCTGTTGATTCAAGGAATTGGCGGACACGTACAGAGGAGATTGCGGGCTTTGAGACATTCATGGAGAATTTTTCAGCTTGCTTAGGTCTTGTTTCAGCCGCATTCGCCAGCGAGGTGCGTTTCGCCATGACTTCGGATAGTCCCATCGATTCACCCATGTTGACCGACGACCAGAAAGCCCGCGGTGTTCGATTGCTGAACATGTTGAGGCAGGTTTTTCGTGACACGCCGAAGGCCAGAGTCATCTTGCTTGCTTATAGTGAGTCGTCACACCTTGGAGAGCGCAACCCCCATGAATACCTAGTCAGGTCACGACAGGAAGTGATGCATTTCAGGAATTCCTTGATGGGCCGTACCTTCAAGAACAATAGTGTCACGGAATTGATCAAGCAGATGGAATTTGAAGAAAGCAGGTGCCAAAACCTCTTGAACATGCTTCCAGCCTCGATTTCCAAAGTTGAGCTGGAACTTCAGTCCACTGACCTTGCAATGCTGTTCCTTCTTTCGTTGCCCACGCAGATCCGTGAATACACAACCATGCATAGCAATACTGAGGATTACAAGGATCTCAAGAGTGCAGCATTGAAATACGAGACCTCTCAAAGGCTTTGGACTGAAATTGGAGGTAACACAGCATCACAGTATATGCAGAGCATGTTCGATCCGAACAAACCACCGAAAGGGAAAGGTAAAGGAAAAGGAAAAGAAAGGGGAAAACGATCCATGTCCAGCAGTCCCAACAAAAAGGCTGAGGAGAAGAGCGACCAAGAAAAGAATGCAATTTGTTTTAGATGCAGCAGAAAAGGCCATTTCCAAAGCAATTGCCGTGCCCGCACCGATAAGGACGGCAATCCCCTTAGTTCGAACGAGAAGCCCAAGAATCAGAGTGAACAAGCATCAAAAGGCACCTCAACCACCGATGGAAAGGGAAAGGGCAAAGATGGTAAAGGTAAAGGCAAGGTAAAGGTAAGATTCAGGAGTTCGTGTCAGTCGATTCAGCCGAGCAGCCTGAGTTGGAAGAATTTACTGCTGCAAGCCGAGCGGCATATGCCGATCCCAGAGCTCCTATGAGCCCTTTCGTTGCATCCCAAACATCTTTGTCATCCCCATGTTTGCAGACCATGGCGCAATTCGAGAATTTGTTGAATGCTCAGGACTGCACCTTGGGTTTATGTTCACATTTGTCAGTAGACAGTGATGTGTTTGAAACATGTTTGAAGGACGAGTCTCTCTTTTCACTTGGTGATATGTTGAAACAGCATACTTTTGCATTATATCCAGAAAGACGTCACTGGTTTATGCCGTTTTTGATGCCCGCATCGAGCGATTCTCATCAGGAACATTCGGATGTGTGTTGGTGGTTGATCGATTCAGGAGCAAGTGCCTCTGTTGTGAGCAGTCGATTCCTTAGTCATTACGATGTACTTCACCAGATGAAGCTCCCCACCAACAGGAATGAAGGGTTCTCTTCCGCCTCAGGCGATGTGGTCGTGCCGACGGCCGCTGTTTGCATCCGAGCGCATTTCCGCATGACCTCCATTGAGAATCCCCGGGTAAAAGTGTTGAAGGAGTGTCTCATTGCATCTCATTGCGGCTTTTGTTGCAGATGTTCCCAATAACGTTTTGAGCGTTGGAACATTGTTGAAGAAGGGTGGACACTAGGAAACTCTGGACCAAACATGGAGGTCACCAAGGAAGGACATCGCCTTCAGGTCATCACGTGGCAGAACGTGCCATGGGTGTTCCACGAAGAGTGTGGATCATTCACGAATGACGCTGTCGTTGCGAGATCTCCCGCTGTGTCTAAGACATCTCGAAGGGAGTCGAAGTCCAAAGAGCGAGTAGGTTACATGTTCATTTCGGTGACATTCAAGAGCATTTGTTTGATGGACCACTAAACGTAAGGCAGAGAGTGAACTGTCGCCTGAAACCGTTTATCGGACTCAGCCTCAAGCCGATCCATCACCCGATAGCCGTACCGCCGTTGGGGTCCCAGAGACTGCCGAGCAGTCAGGAGCCGCTTCGTCGTCTTCAGTTGCTAGGAGGGTTGATGATAGTCAGATTGTAAGTAATGAGCCCAAGCCCAGTCCTGATCAATCAAGACATGTTGATCCGTTCGCGCCGGCCTCAGCACCAGGTCCTTGTTCAGGCCCTCCGGGAGACACGTCTGCGCCTCAAGCTGCAGGGAAGTTCGTCAAAGGCCAATCCATCTGGTGTTGAAGCGTCTGAAGAATCATCATCATCCAAACATCCAATCGTCTTGAAAAAGAACCAACGTGTCCGACAATCATTGGAAGAGCGTCGCGATCAAGGTCATTTCCCGTTCCATGTTCTGCAGCCACGTCCGTGACCCAGAGGCGAAGACGCCATAAAGATAGGGTTTATTCTGAAATTAGGGCCGATTTTTCTTTCTGGAGACGTGTAAATTTCTCATCCTGGCTGACATGTCAACGGGAATGAAAGGTTTCGTGCCTATCTCTCCGGTCATCAAGACCAATCAGGCTTGGCTTAGGAACTGGCTGAATGAATTTAATCTTCTTGGAGAATCCCGCTTTCCTCTCGAGATCTTGACTGATGCCGAGGAAGGCGTGAGCCAGCTTTTCCTTGGCCTTGACATTGGCCGGGATTACGCTGTCCTCAAGTCTGCGCCTCAAGCCCACCAAACAAATGGACACGCTGAAGGAGCCATTCGCTTTGTCAAAGATGCCATCACCGCACTTCGTCAAGACTTAAGAAATAATGGTGTTGATTTGAACTTATCTGACCGAGATCGAAGAAGCTTGAACGCAGCAATGGCATATGCATGCCATTGTTCGAACCTGCACTCCACATATCTTGACACCAAACGGTCACCAAAAGAGGTTGCACTAGGAAGAAATTTCGTCCTACAGACAGCCATGTTCGGCGCCACAGTTCTTGCCGAGGTGCCGGATAGCCTTCGAGACAGCGCAGTGTCCCGCTTCGAGAAGGCAGCATACATTCGTCCCGAATTCAACTCATTAGGTCACGTATGTTGCTGTGTTTTGGCAGGCACCGAACGAATCTTTGTTGCACGAAGTATCAAAATTCTCACGCCGATAACCTTTGAAGTTCGCCTGGCGCCTACTTTCCTGATGTCATATGACCGCAGTCTTTCTAGAAAGAGTCTAGAGGCTGAACACCAGAAGTTGGACATTGAGAAAGCTGGTGAGGACATTTCTTTGGTTGATCGAGCTTCAACTG